CTGGGTTACAATAACACACGGTCTGGCCAGAGCTGATGACGTCCTGCTGTCTAAAGTCTAATGATGCTAAAGTTCATCATCCCATAATTCATCCGGTCATAAAACTGTGAATGTACGATGAATATGATGATAATATGATGGTCAGGATCTCCACGATCATCAGTACAGAACTCACATCTTTAGTTCCTGTGATAAGGACACAGGGTTGAGAAACATTGGGCATGTGACCCGTGAGCATACGGGTCATTCTCTTTATTAAACAGGGCCATATGAAATCCATTTTTTTCCCAAATTCCATTTTTTCCATTTTAGTTTTTCTGGATTCCATTTTTATTCCATTTTAGTTTTTCTAGACTCTGTTTTAATGGTTAAATTAAAAAAAAAATCAAATAGCATCATGTCTAATTAATTGAAATCATGAAACTTACACAATTTAACAGCAAAGCACAATTTATTAAAAGTTGAAAAAAAATTCCCTTAAATTAAGATTTTTTTTTCTCTCTCTTTCTCTGTGCTGTGCATTTACATTTTTCTGGTAAATAAATTCTGGTAAATATTCCTTTAAAAAATAATGTTTCAATAATACATTTTTCTTCAAGTTAAACCAAACGTTTACTTTGACGGGTTGCTGTGAAGACTTTGAGTTTCTGTTTGTATATGATATGATGATAGTTTTTCTCAAAAGAAATGGTAAAATGCTCATGAAGTGACTAAGCAGTTCTAGAGATGAAGTTCATGTGTTCATATATTGTGGCTGAAAACACCGCGAGCATCACACACACTTCAGTATGTGTGTAGTAAACAAAACCTGCACCATTCATTCATTCATTCAACCGCAGAACATGCAGGATTCATATTTAAATAGTCTTTTTGTGGCTTAATATTCACACACACTAGTCCATACCGCATTTTGATGTAAGTGTACTTGACCTACTTTTGATTTATTCATCCAAAATTTGGCAAATTCCATGACATTCAGTATTATACAGTAAATTCCATTTTTATGACTGGATTCCACGATTCTGTCCGTGTTGTCCACATCACATAAACCATAGGGTCCCAATTAACCATCTGGTTAAAGAAAGTTGTGTTGCAAGTGCAGCACACATGAAGATCAACATGGTGTAAATGCGAAACTATTGACTTATTAAATAGCTTTGCATGAATATGAAGGCACATATTGTCTTAAACATTTCCTAGTTGTTCAAATATAATATAAAATCAGAAAAATGCTAAATAGATCTAAAACGTCCAGTTTTAGAGATCACATCAGGTGTGTGTGAGGAGACCTCATCCATCCACAACACTACAGCATGAGCAGATTCACATCAATCACTGCATTGATTCAAAATCACTCCTGTAGTTCACAAACGCTGAGCTGAGATCATCTCATCTCCATCTGGCTCCGTCGACTCGTGGAGTGATGATTCCTGACCAGCACAAACGGCCCTGTTGCTCATGGAAAAACAGCCCTCATGCACACGTGTGTTCAGTGAGATCATATTTGATGCACACACACACACTGAGAAGAGAGGAACCTCATGGGATCAAACTCCGAGCGTTACCATGACAACCCTATCCTGAGCGGATTATGGGCTGATAAAACAAACACATGATCCGTGATGAAACACAGCCAAACGCAGTCAGTCCAGCAGTGTGAGAATCTCCAGGAGAAACTCATCATAACATCACAACAGCAGACTGATTCAGTGATGTCATCATCAGCACCAGCCCCATAGACGCCTCCATCATTCCCGGAGTGTTACTCACACGCACACACACACACTCACACACACACACACTCACACTCACACACACTCGCATACACTCACACACTCGCACACACACACTCGCACACACACACACACACACTCACACACTCACACATAGGCCTGTCACGATATATTGCCCCAGAAATAATTGCGATAAGCGATATTACTGTCATTTTAAAGACCATTTTATGCCACTGAATATATAATCATAATGTAACAGCATAATAATGCAAGAAGGCCTACACACTTCCAAATGAC